CTCCTCCTTTTAAAAGATGAATGGTTGGTGTAAATAATCAGTGTTAATCTTTTTATGTGGTTCAGACACGACAATTAATTGTAAGATATGTTATGAGGGAGTGTCTGCTGTATTGAAAAATTAAAGCTGCCTACATCGCTTAATCAAGTGTCATTGATGTAAAAAAAAAAAGAAGTAAAAAATAAATAAATAAAAAATTGCCTAATCCAGTTCTTTAAGATTCTAACTATTTCAAAATGGGTGTGCGGTGTCTCTCCTTATTACTCTGTCAGATTTTGGTGGGTAAAGCTTTTTGCCCAGTTGCTATCAAACGAGTGAGACACAAAGGAAGACAAAAATAAATGTTTTAATTTGAATATTTTCTACTGAGAAATGTCTATTCATCATGAACGTCTTTGTTTTTTATATCACATCTTTAAAAAAATCTCCTAACAATTTACTTATCAGATTTGTCTCTTTTACTCTGCGGCAACATACACCAATTCCACATTTTTACAGCATGCAAAAAATATGTACTGGAATAGTTGCTTGTATTTGATGTAATTTAAAAAAAAAAAAAAAAAAGATACCCTGCTTGGACAAATGCCCACCTACATTTGCGATCTGCTCACACGGAGAAGTACTGTTTCTTACAGCCTGCGTTCAAGCGATCTTCTTCTGCTCAATGTTCCATTTGCCAGAACTGAACTGGGAAAAAGGGCTTTTATTTATGCTGCCCCTTCCACATGGAATATGATGCAAAAAGACTGGAAGATAGCAGAACTTATTTCATTAAATGCTTTTAAGTCCAGATTGAGAGAGCCAGAGAAAAATGTTTTTTAAAATGTAATTGTTATTTATAATATGTATGTAACTTTGTAATTTTAACGTGTTGTCGCCTCTTGGCCAGGACTCCCTTGAAAAAGAGGTTTTTAATCTCAATGGGATTTTTTTCCTGGTTAAATAAAGGTTAAATAAAATAAATAAAAAATGTGGTGCACAGCAACATTGCATCTTCACGATTTTCCCAGTGTTTGATTTTCAGTTGCTTTGTGACATTGTCAGTGTCTTTCACTGACCTGTTGTACTGAAGACAGTACGGCACCCAAAGGTAAAGAGTGGCTCTTTTTCTCTTCGCTGGTCAGTAAAAATGGCTTTCCAATCTCAGACAAATGGTTCTTTGTCTGACACCGGGAAAGAAATGCAGCAAAGAATTTGAGACATGCAAAAGAGATGAAATGCAGATTTGTGTCACTTTAAAGATTTCTCACTGCTTTTGGATCTTTCGGTGTTTTGATGATGAGCATGGAGTGCTGTAAAGTTAATATGCGCTTTTAAAAGTTTGGACTTTTATTTTGGCTCTGTACTGGTGACTGGGTTTTCATCTGTCACACGGGGGCAGTAGAAGCACACTGCAGTTAACACAGTGAGCCTAAATCTTCACATAGTTTTTAGCCTTTTTCATAAATTTGCCTCAGTATCATGAAAGAGTCAGGAATGCATGCATTGTGCAGTTTTTTTTCTTTCCCATCTGTATTTGAAACAAACCCAGACTCATTCAGAAACAGAATGACACCTCAAAAAGGTAAAAGGTGCAGAGAGAGAGAGTGTTTGTGTGTGTTTGAGAGAGGCAGGCTGCAGGGCTTTATGTCTTTTATGTGGCCGTTTGTCCTGTTTATGTGCTCCTGCCTCTCCTCTCCTCTGCGCTCTGCATTGATGGCAGCGTGCCTGTAATTGATGGCACCATATTGCTGTGGTGTAGCAGGTTTAATGGGGCTTGACAGAGCAAGGGAAAGCAGCATGCAGCCAGGGAGGGAACTTAACCCTTTCACACGCACTCCACCCTCCATCGGAGACCCTCCCCGTTCTCCCCTGCCACCCTCGCCTGTTCTCTAGTTTTTGCGCCCTCCCCCCTGCACATCAGCGTGTGCAAACACAAACGAGAATACAAATAGGCCCTCGGTGATTAGCTTGTTTACGATTCCTACTGTTATCAGTGGTCATGGTAATGGCAGTTTGGTTCATGATCAAGGAAGCTCAGACACCCCTCTGACTCCACTTCTGAAAATAAATACTCGCCAGCTGTTGGGGCTCCTTACTGTTTTGCTTGGAGGAGCCTAAATGTGTTTGACAAAGGTAAACAGCTGGGAATTTATTTCTTCAAACTTGCTGCCAGCCTGCAGTGCCTCGATGTCACCTACAGGGGCCAGTGTGGATCCAAGATACGAGGAGTGGCCTTCCAACTGACTTGGATTTCCATTGGCATCCGCTCCAGTATTTTGGATGTGTTTATTTTGTTATGAGGGAATTTCGTAGCCTGTACAGAGCCTTTCATTAAATAGGGAGCGTTATTCGTCACTCAGGCACGCTGAAAAACATTCAGGCCTGCAAACACGTGCACGCGCCTGCACACACTATATGCTCCATTAATCAATAGAGAGGATGAAATGATGCTATTGTGTGCGAGGCAAGGCGAATGGCATGTTGAAGAATGAGCTAGTCAAAGCTGTTGGCAAATCATTAATGTAAGGTGCTGGTCTAAACCAAGTTCTCACATTCTCTGTGCAAGCTGTTCCCAGGTGACAAAAAACTGGGGAGAGACGCTATTTTAAGAGTCGATATCACACCTCTTGTCTCTCCCTCTCTCTCTCTCTTTCTCCCTCTCTTTTTTAACCAAGTCACTTATATTCCCTACTGAATCGCTTTCTCTCTGAAAGGATTTGGGTGTGGTACGCAGGAATATCCCGTTTCTCTCTTCCTTCCTTCTTTCCCCTTTTTCTCTCAGGTATTATCACTTTCCGTGAACTCTCAGTCCACATTTCTCTGGAAATTTATAGGCCACTTTCCCCTCACTTGTTGTCTATACATCCACTCCCTCCCTCTAACCCCTTTGCTCTCCATCATCCCACTCCCCGCCATCCTCCCTCCTTGCCAGGCCGGCTGCAGATTGGCTATTTCCTGCACGCGCCCAGTAGAGCCCTTATCAGAGGTAGAGTGCTGATTGTTGGTCTGTCTCTCAGGCTGACTGACAGTTCAGGCTGCGCTGCTGAAATGCCTGATTTGGTCAATGTTTGTCTGTGGGGCCTTATCTCCACACCTTATATTAACTGCCTTGACAGTATGTGCAGGCAGTCTCTCTCCATCTTGTTGCACCCTCCCACCACCACCACCAGCACCTCCCTCTATCCTCTGTCTCTATCTCCATTCACTCTCTATACCCGCCTCGCACTATAGTCTTTCAACCAGCAGCTAAACATTTTCCCACTGATCCTCCCCTTCCATCATTGTTCCTCTTATAGCTGGATCAGCACTAGAGGACCATAAAAGTCGCTTTATTTCTTGCTTGTTATTTCTGCCAAAAGCAGTAATAGTGTTAACAGTAGTCCAAGTTATAAAACAACGTATTTGTCCATTTAGTCGAATCAGGAAATGTCTGTTCTATCTTCTGAACACCTAAATCTCCTGAGATTCCTAGAACACTGATGACTGCTTTTTCAGCTTTGAGCATTGTAAGAATGTCACAGTGTGGCCACACTTTATGGTGTGAATTTTTTGCGATTTGCAACACATTTTAAAATCTTAGTAAAACATAGATGGATTTTCTTGGTCTGAAAAATGATGCTAACACATCAGGACTGTGACTACTCAGTTTGACTAACTCCTTGTGAGTCATAATTATTAGCCAATGAGCCTTCAGTGTTTCTCATTTTCACAGTCAGACCCCACATTATTAGTCACAATTGGTTTCAAAATGCCAAAAATGGTGACCATTGGGTCACATCCGCGTGGCTGCATCCATTTTTTATATACAGTCTGTGTAGGCTATGCAATAGCTGCTATTTTTAGAAAAGCTGAGTTCAGAAATCTCCCTTTTTAAAGTAATTACATTACCTTCAGTACCTCTCTCCAGGAAACCTCCTCCAAAATCAACAGTCAAATTGCATTCCTGCATACGATAAAATAGACCTTGAAGACCTTGAAGTGACATTATCCTGTCACACATAGAGCAATAACATGTGACAAGACAAAATGTGGTTTAAAAGAAAAAAATACATTTCTTTGGGATGACTAAAAACACCATACTCCTTAAAGAAGATTCAAGGACATGACCTAAGTATTGTCAATTATAGCTACAGCCTTGAATGTGAAAACCAGACAGGTTCACCTGTATTGTTTCTGCATGTAGGCAGTAAAGTCAGTGAAAGATATTTCAAATACAAGAGTATCTACATGGCTAGATACCACTAGAGATAAGTGAGAAAAGATAATGATGTGTGTGTCTCTGTGTGTGTGTGTGTGTGTGTGTGTGTGTGTGTGTGTGTGTCTGTGTGTGTAATATAGTGTAAAGGGTATCTTAAAATACTGTTTTGCATTGCTGCTTTTGTATTCTAGGACAAAAACTCAGGTGTGATGTTAAAGCAGCTTTAAAGAAGAGGTAACACACTTAAAAACCCCCACAAGAACGTATCCATTGTGAATCTCTTAAACTGACCACCTTAAAATGTGACTTGGAGTTGATCTTACTTTAAAATTGCTGTGAGTTCATAAAATGTCAAACCAATTGAAGAAAGTTAAAACCACAAAAAACACAAAATAGTCAGAATATGGTAGACAGTGCAGAGAAAAAAAAATCAGAGGCTCCCTGCTGCTTTGTCTGTGTTCTGTCTTCTTATGCAAAGCGAAGCTACACCTTTTCCCACAGATTTTCTTTCTGTTTATATAAGGTTAACAAGAAAATGTCAGCTGATTCTACTCTATTCTTGTATGAGTCACCAAAGATTTACAGTCATCTTTTCCCATCTATTACCTATACCTATTTTGACCATCATCAAATAACAATTTGGCTTAACAAGACTTCAAGTTCTTCTATTTGGGAAAACAGAAATTCTGGGGAGAATGCCAACAAAACACTATCCAGTAAATTAACTCTGATATAAAACTCTTTCTCTTGCTACCTGGCAGCTTTCTTGACTTGACTGAGGTACTGTAAAACTCCTATTGAAGGGGGAGACGACCATTAATTTCATGTCAGTGGAAGAACCTTTAGATAATTTAATCCACAAAATAAATTTTGAGTTTGTATTTATTTATTTATAATAATTAATGTAATATAATAATATATGCTATGAACATGATAATATTACATGTAATATTATAATATTTTTATGTATTAAATACCAGTCCAGAATGTTGACACCATCAGCATCTCTGCTCATCCCATTGAGCATATTGTGGATAGAGTAAGCCAAGAAAAAACAAAAAACAACTTAGATCTTTACAACTTAGACAAGTGGATACAGTGATGATAAAAAGTCAGGACTGGATATTGAATTATCTACTTACAAAGTTTTAAATTAGATGAATTTTAAGTTAGATGAACACCACATGATATATTGCACAGTGTGATCAATTAACAAAAACAAAGCCAAAGAGCAGACGCTGTGTGTGAAAACACTCCATGATTCAAAAGCTTTTAGAACCACCTTTAGCGGCAATAACTAGAATAATCACCTTGTGTATGACTTTATCGGTCTCTCTCATTGTTGTGGAGGAATTTTGACCCACTGTTCTTTACAACAGCATTCAATTATAGAAAGCTGTCTTAATGTCCCGCCACAGCATTTCAGCTATGGGTTGAGGTCTGGAGTTTGACTGCCTGCTGCAAAACCTTGATTCTTTTCTTTTTCAGCCATTCTGTTGTCGATTTGCTGCTGTGTTTGGGATTATTGCTTGATCCAGTTTTGGTTGCGCTTTACCTGTCGGAGAGATGACTCTAGAATGCTTTGGAATAAACAGGAGTTCATTCTTGGGTCAATGGCAAGATGGAAAGGTCCTGTGGCTGGAAAACGAGCTCAAGTCATCACCCCTTCACCATCATGCTTGACAGTTGGTCTGAGTTGTTTGAGCTGATACACTGAGTTTGGTTTTCACCAAATGTGCCACTGTACACAGTGACCAAACATCTGCATTGTGGTCTCCTCTGTCCAAAGGATATTTGTCCCAAAAACGGTCTTTCTCCTGACAAACCTATCCAAACAAGCTTACATACTTGTTAAGACCTTTCCTAATTGCACTGCCATGAACTTTAACAAACTAACTGAGACCATGCTATTTATCTAACAGCATACTAATTGGGACATCCACATATGGGAATTAATCTTTTCCCTTTTGTTTGTTTTGGACCTTTTTAACCCTTCCCTTATGGGCAGGAGCAATTACTTGTTTAAGATCCCTCCTTGACACTGTGTGAACACACACTTGAATGCTTCAAACCAGCAGACTTCCAAAACTTTGGTTTTATAAGGACCACGTTTCTGTTATTATGTCCTGATAACAACTACAAAGTACAAAAACAGGCGTAGTTTATGTTTCACCTTGACTGTATAGCTGCCACCACACAGCTGAAACTGTTGTGAACCTCTATAAAAACCATTAGTAGCTCACATGTTTCCCAAGTCTGCTGCTTACTTGGCTCTTGAAGGGAAGGGTAGGACAAACGCCATCTTTAGTGTTTCACAATTCTGCCACAGACTTCAATTTAGGATTCCTTGAGTGCTATTTCAGCTCCTTCTATAATGTCTCTGTTTGTAACTTGCATTTTTATTCCCGTGTGTCTCAGCCACATGATAAGATGATAAAATGCTCATTTGGGCTTTGCTATTACAATAAACACTCACATGCACCATGTAGTTTATTTAAACCATTTCCGCGTATACTGCAGCATGGGTGTATTAATCCATCACACAAAATAGACGCAAATTAATTGATTATTCAGTGTTTTTAATCGAATCAAATCGAATCAAATCACTTTTATTGTCACATCACATGTGCAGGTACATTGGTACAGTAAATGCGAGTGAAATTCTTGTGTGCGAGTTTCACAAGCAACAGAGGTGTGCAAAAATACAATAACATAAAACAAGCAAAACATAAGGACGGCTAAATCTGAGAGTAATAAATATATGTACAATATAAGAGTGTATGCATTTCTGGATGTGTATACTAAATATGTTTTTTCTACGTGTGTGTGTGTGTGTGTGTATACATATTTTACAAATTAAATAAAGTAAACAATAAATAAAATATATAAAATATACAGAGGTTGGTAGTCGGATATTGTGCAAAAGAAGTGGCATTTATATACAGTGTGGAGTGCATGATGTTGAAGTTCCAGTAGTGAAGCTGAGGTGTCTATGA